CAACGGTACCGAACGAAAAACGCGGCCTTTGTACGCTTGTTGAACCGGGACTATTACCACCGGAACCGCGAACACATTGTGCAACAACAGCGAGATCGTCGTGCCAGGGATCGACAGAGAACAGAGGGTCCATTTCGAAAGTTACGGGCCTTGGCGGACGTGTGTGCTGCCCGATTACTGGAATTAGAGCATGGATACGCCCCGCTCGCACCGAAAAAACCGGGACCCCGAGAAAAATAAACTTCAACAAAAACTGTATCGACAGCGACAATATGCGGCTGTCAATGGGATCGAGAAAGTGAAGGCTCTCAACCGTCAACGCTACCACGAGCGCATGGCACGCATGAAAGCCAACGGAGACTACGAGGCCTTTAAAAAAAAAAAGGTCGAGTATGGGATGAAGCGCTACTATGCCATGCCGGAAGAGAAACGCAATGAGGTGAAAAAAAAGAACGCGCAAGCCCAAAAGAACTGGATGGCGAAAATGAAAGAAGGGGGGACATACGAGGCCTACAAACATCGGCTCAATGAACGGCGACGAGCGTTGCAAGCAGAGAAAAAGCGAGTCTTGGGCGAAGAGGGGTGGAAAGCCTTGCAATCCAAAAAGTACGAGCAACGGATGGAGTCCATTCGGCGTCAACGTTGGCAATGGTTGGACGAACAATTAGAGCGTCCTTTTCCCCTCCCGTGGTGGCCGTTGGACTGGTCCGACTCCGAGCCTGAAGAGGACCCTGTACAATCGACTCGTTCAAATGCATTACAACAATTGCAGCAGTATTTGTAAGAACAATGTGAGTTTTATTAAAACATGTGATTAGATCATTCAATCTTGTAATGACTGTGTTTCATTAAATTACATGCCCAATCTCAGTTTGGTTTTCATAATGCGTCTCACAATACGCTCCGTCAGGGTTTTGCGACCGGGGAGTTGATCAATCTTGGCAATCATCTTGCGATCCGCCACCCATTTATCTTTCAAGGTCTTGGCTTTATCATAGTCCATGTCATGCACTTTCGCAATCCTGTCTAACCGGTTGATGCCGGGATCTCCACGGGCCAAACGTTTTTTCAAATGGGTGCCAGGGCCCATGTACTGATAGCCGGGCCAATGAAATTCAATGCCCGTCTTGTTGAGGAGGTTTTGCACATCAAATAACTTGCCCCCGCGTTGCGATCGTCGTTTTTTCTTGTTGTCTCGATCCAGGCATAGACGTCCTGCATTGCGTTGTTTACGATGGCCTGTTCCTGGGCCAGGCATAGACACAAACACCACATCCACTTGGAAACCGCGATCGGGGTTGAAGGCTTCATTACTATTCAACTTGCCGGCTAAAGTCGCTAACATTTCATCCAAACGTGCCGTACGTTGTAAAAATTCCCCCACGGTAAAATTGGCTGTTTGGTAAGCATGGGTGAACCCATGCGCTGTAATGGCAAAATTCACAAAATGGTGGGCAGGTCGCTGCTCGCGACCCAGTTCTGTTTCAATGGCTTGATGGAGTGCTTCGGTCAAAGCCAACCCAATATTATCCCCAGGGACAGGATCCCGCAATTGTCGTAATTGCGCATTGAATTGCGCCCGCTCCACTACATCACGCCAACGGCGTCGTCGACCGATGGGTTGCATACTGAATTGAAAGAGAGGGCCACGGGCGGCAGCCCCTCCCAACTGTTCCCACCGATCATAAGCGCGGTCCAATAGAGCATCCCCTTCGTCATCGTCACTGAATGGATACGCCTCCGCCATGACAGCGGCAACCAATTTGAATTTTCCCGCGCTGGACGTGGACTTTTATAGACCTTCTCACGTGATCTCTCCTGCACTGGGATTGGTGGACCCAACTCAGGTGAGAGTCAGGTGAGGGGGTTTGATCTACCAGAAGAAGATCAAGGGTGGTCCCCCCCCCCATGGGTACAGACTCCTTAAGTCTCCTCTAGGCCTGGACCGAGAGCGATGATTGGTGGAGGGAACCCTAGTTATAGTCCAACGTTCAGGACAGACGCCAGTGTGCGTTCGAGATGCCCAACAAGGATCCAGAAAAAGCGAGAGAGTTGAAGCACGCGTGGTACGTCAAGAACAAAGAGAGATTGTTGCAACAGAAACGTGAAAAGCGGGCAGCCCAGAAAAAGGCGAAACCCCCCAAACCACCTAAACCAGCCCCGACGCCCGAACAGACAGCAAAAACCCGAGAGTTTAACCGACTGGCCTGTCAACGGTACCGAACGAAAAACGCGGCCTTTGTACGCTTGTTGAACCGGGACTATTACCACCGGAACCGCGAACACATTGTGCAACAACAGCGAGATCGTCGTGCCAGGGATCGACAGAGAACAGAGGGTCCATTTCGAAAGTTACGGGCCTTGGCGGACGTGTGTGCTGCCCGATTACTGGAATTAGAGCATGGATACGCCCCGCTCGCACCGAAAAAACCGGGACCCCGAGAAAAATAAACTTCAACAAAAACTGTATCGACAGCGACAATATGCGGCTGTCAATGGGATCGAGAAAGTGAAGGCTCTCAACCGTCAACGCTACCACGAGCGCATGGCACGCATGAAAGCCAACGGAGACTACGAGGCCTTTAAAAAAAAAAAGGTCGAGTATGGGATGAAGCGCTACTATGCCATGCCGGAAGAGAAACGCAATGAGGTGAAAAAAAAGAACGCGCAAGCCCAAAAGAACTGGATGGCGAAAATGAAAGAAGGGGGGACATACGAGGCCTACAAACATCGGCTCAATGAACGGCGACGAGCGTTGCAAGCAGAGAAAAAGCGAGTCTTGGGCGAAGAGGGGTGGAAAGCCTTGCAATCCAAAAAGTACGAGCAACGGATGGAGTCCATTCGGCGTCAACGTTGGCAATGGTTGGACGAACAATTAGAGCGTCCTTTTCCCCTCCCGTGGTGGCCGTTGGACTGGTCCGACTCCGAGCCTGAAGAGGACCCTGTACAATCGACTCGTTCAAATGCATTACAACAATTGCAGCAGTATTTGTAAGAACAATGTGAGTTTTATTAAAACATGTGATTAGATCATTCAATCTTGTAATGACTGTGTTTCATTAAATTACATGCCCAATCTCAGTTTGGTTTTCATAATGCGTCTCACAATACGCTCCGTCAGGGTTTTGCGACCGGGGAGTTGATCAATCTTGGCAATCATCTTGCGATCCGCCACCCATTTATCTTTCAAGGTCTTGGCTTTATCATAGTCCATGTCATGCACTTTCGCAATCCTGTCTAACCGGTTGATGCCGGGATCTCCACGGGCCAAACGTTTTTTCAAATGGGTGCCAGGGCCCATGTACTGATAGCCGGGCCAATGAAATTCAATGCCCGTCTTGTTGAGGAGGTTTTGCACATCAAATAACTTGCCCCCGCGTTGCGATCGTCGTTGTCGTCGCCTCGATCGGGCACGGGAGGTAGCTGTCACACGACGTCTCCGTCCCATCACGGGGTTTTCCACGATTTCCAATCCAAGGCTTTCTTGGCCACCCCAGCGGCTTTCTTTTTGGCGATACTGGCGGCTTTCTTTTTGGCAGAGTCTGTCGTGCGTTTACGAATATCACGCGCAACCGCTTTCTTGATGGAGTCCACTCGTTCACGGGGGGTATCCCACGGTTCTACTCCCTGCGTGTCTGAAAAAGGCAACTCGTGTGCCAACTCAGCACTACTCACTTGAGGCGCAAACTTGAGTTTCTTTTTAGCACTGGGGGTGATGTTCGGTTTAGGCGGGACAGGTGGTTTTCTGGGTCCAGCCGGCGTGGACCCTTGTTTTATACCTTTGGTGGCCTTGACCAACTGCGTGAACCACGCTTGCATAGGCCCTGCCTCAAAATCATCATCCTCGCCGGGCGTCGTAGCCCCTGCGGCGCGCACACCCCCCGCGGGCGCTCCAAAGGGTTGACGCACTTTTTTGGTCCAATGGCGTAACTGACGGCTCACGGCTTTGAGTTGAGGCCGTTTCCAGGCATCGGGGACCTCACTGGTCAGGAGCACATGTTGTCTGGCCGCCAAATCCGCAGCTTTACTCAAGCGAGTATCTTCCACCAATTCTTGTTTGTACTTTTCTTTTAATTGTAAAAAAGCAGGGGCGTTGTCCACCGTGGTGCTCACCATCTCGGGTTCCATAGTGCAACTGAGGTGTCTTGTCTAGCGCATGCAACGTTTATAACATCGGTAGAGTTCAGGCCAGAGGGCACCGCCTGTTTGAGTCATCATGATGGCGCGCCGTCGTTTCACCGAATGCGCGGGTTTGGCCATGGCGCGTAAACTCTGGGCATGGGGTTTGAGCAACGTGATGGTATGTCGAGAGCGGGGCACGGTGCCACGGAGCGTGTTCATCACCAATTCACTGATGGCATTGATCTGATCCGCATTCGCCATCCGCAACAATTCTTGTCGTTTATGCTGATTGGCTTCTTGTAAGACACTTTTCAAGAACGGGGCTTGACGTTCCATGCGCCACCCCATGCTGAATCTTGAGTACAGGCAACGACCAAGCTCTATTTATGGTAAAAAAGGCTCCACACCTGCCACACAATTCGCCATGATAATAGCATTGCATATGAGTGCGACACCGTTCGCATAACAACGATTCATACTGGCGGTCCCAGTCCAACGTGAACGTCACGGCTTTTTTGGGTTTTTTGAGCACTGGATCGCGTCTAACGTGGACGCGTCCGTCGACGTTTCTTCTTGAACGCCCAAGGCGAGAGAGCCACTGCCAACATGGGGAGCACGCCTCCACGTTGCAATCCACGTCGCCGGCGTCGTATTCGGGGGACATAACGGTGTCGACGTCCATTGGGTCCACGGACCATCCTCCAATGGAGTCCGGGTCCCCACCTGGCGTGTCTTTTATAGCTTTCTCAGCGTTTTAAACACGCCCCAACCCGTTCGACCTAACATGCGCTGGACCCGTCGTTGATTGGCCGCCCATTGCGAGGCACTGATCTTGCCCACTTTTTTCTTGTTCTTTTTTTTCAAGGCGATGGCTGCCCCGACGGCAATAGGGAGGAGGAGCGGTAGAATACCCCCTCGTTGCTGTCGGCGTCGTGTTCGTCGTCGTGGACCACAAGGCATGATAATCCCTTCTCTGTCCAACAAAAGACACGCCTCTTGTCTTTTATACTTTTTTCACATAATGGAACAATTAAACGATTCCCCCGCATAGCGTTTTCGTTTGCCGGATGCCACTTCTCGTCGGCGTTTTTCGCCAATGGCAATGGCACGCTTGGTTTGATGATCCCCGATGGCTTTGGTGATCCCATAGCCGGCTTTGAGAATCCCGAGAGGCAGGCCGGGCCCGACACCCCCTACTTGACCTCTTCGTCGTTTGGCGGGGGATCGACGTCGGGTCGTGGTGCGTTTGCGTTTGCGTCGAGGGGCCATCCCGCTTCGACATCGGCCACAAATGGTTTTGGGACGGTCGAAGGAAGGACCCCTGGTTTTATATCTTTTTGTTCACGGGCGTCGACCCCGTCCACGGGCTAGGCCACGGCCTCGGCGGGGTGGTGCAGGAGGTGGGCTTGGACTGGAAGTTCGCGTCGACGTGCGACGTACCGAAGGTCGGCCTCCCTCTTCATACACGGTGGTGACGGTATTGGTATGCGTGATATTGCGAATGCGTCTCCCTCGAGCCCGTTCTTGCACATCTTCATTCAGCAAATCCAACCGTCGCCTTAAGCCTCGTCGTCGTTCATCGTCATCATCATCTTCATCCTCGTCCTCCGACGGAGGGGAGGAATCGGGGGACGGTGGAGAGGGCACGCGGGGACGTCGTCGCGGTTGTTTGGCAGCCACGGTGGGACGACCCGTCGGGGTCGTCACCGTGGAAGTGGTGGTCCTGGTGCCGGCTCCAGCACTGCGTCGGGAAGTGGAGGGGCGGGAGGGAGCCGTGGTGGTCGTGGCGGTGGTGACAGGGCGTGGTCTGGGTCGTCTGGAGGCAGTGGTGGTGGTAGTGGTCGTGGGACGTGTGCGGGTGGACGTGGTGGGACGGATTTGGGTGGCTGTCGTGGTAGGAGCGGTGGTGATAGTGGGTGGTGGTGGCGGTGCCGTGGTGGTAGTGCCTGTGCCTGCCACGGGGGGTAACGTAAACGCATTCAAGGCATCGTCCACATTGATCGGGAACGTCAAGTTAAAATCCTCAATCTCTTGATCCAATTGGGCTCGATCCACGGGTTGGGTCAATTCCGCGACCATGTCCGTCATGCTACTGAGATCTAAGGGAGGGGCGGTGGGCGAACCCACGCCAGCGGGCGAGAAGGTCGGCGTGTCCATGCGGACCGATAAGTCACGTTGTTGTCCGCCTTCTCTTTGCCGACGGACCCTGGCGAGTTCTCGTTGCAGCTCGTTTTCGAACGGCAGGGACATCCACGAGCAAGGTATGGACTTGCGCCTTGCCTTCTTGGCGCGTTAAATGACTCCACAATCGGTACCGATCATCCGACGCCGGATGCACATCCAACATCAAATAGCCAAAGGGACGGGACGTGATGCGTTTAAATAGGCGCAAGACTTGACGTCATCGGTCGGGAAAGGCTTGCAGTAAAATGGTCCGTATGCCCGTTTGATCCCGGGGATTCTTGAAGGCCGCAATGTAATGCGCGTTGCGATTAATGGTCTTGGCAAATTTACCCGGTGGGAATAAATCTTGCGTCAAATACAAGACGGTGATGTTGCGATGATGGGAATCTTTGGTGAACAAATCCAACACGCGTTTGTCCTGTCCCCCTTCTTCCATCAGATCGTCCAACACCAGCACTCCGCCACGCGTCCGGCCAAACCATTGGGTTAAATGACGGGGGTCCGGTAACCCGCGATGAAATTGAATCCCCTCCTTTTTTTGCATACGATCAAACCGGGGTTGCCATCGGTCGTACGCGTAGACGATCTTCTTGGGTTGGACTTGAAACACGTTGAGGTCCCGTAACCACTGTTCCACTAACTCGCTCTTGCCGCTGCCCGACGGGCCAGCGATAATCACACTACTGGGGTGTCGAATCATCCTTCCCACGGTCGAGGCAGACGTCGATAATGACCCGTGGCCCCTTTAGCGCCCATGCGTTTATACCGTTTGCTACGTCCCAATTTATATCCGATTTTGGCTGCTTTGGCCAACACGCTCATGATGCCTCGCCCGTTTTGACGAAAGCGGGGTCGTCGGGAGGAAGCGCACTGCCGTCGTCGTCTAGGCATGCCGTCCAATACTCGCGGTAGAGTCGTGGCGATTCGAACTGAATCAGTTGTTCCATCGTCTCTCTTAAATGCGTTTCTTTCATGGTGTCCATATACTGTTTGAGAGCGACCCAGTCCTGGTCTTGCGCCAGTTGGCGGGCCACCAACCAATGGTACCCATCCCAGGCATCCACCCCTTGGACGGTGTTCACCCGTTCAATGGGGTGTAACCACCAATACAAGGTTTCTTCTAACATGAAGGCGTCCATCACCCGCTGGACATCCCCTCGCGTAATCATGATGAGATTTCAAATGACCACTCTTTCACAGCACATCTCGTTTTATGGTGTTTTTATTTTTAACACTCACAAGGATTACAAAGCATAAAGGCCTGGCGGCTCACATTCTTTTGCCCTCCCTCTGGGCAGGCATCGACTTCATCTTGTACTTCTTGTTTAATCACCCGTTTCAACTGTTCGGCCACTTTCTGATCGTTCAACACTAAATTGTCGCAACTCCATTGCCCCAAAAAGTCTTGATAGGACTGGCCTTGGGCGCGGGCTTTCAAGAAAAATAACGCATAATGGCCACAGGTCTGACTATCCAGGGCTTGCAAGGTCTGGTCACTGCGGATCAGGTGCTTCCATTGACTCCACCATTGGTGCAGGTCCGGGTGGGTGTACACGTGCAGGGGCAGTCCATAACTGTCAAAGATCTCGCACTTGTTCTGTTCCGTCCACAGGCCCAACCAATGTTGTCCCGGCTCTCCCGCTGGATCCGTGTTGACAATGTAGGCTTGACGGACACTCTTGGGAGGTGAACGGGGTAACTGGTAGGCGGGGTACACCCCGTGAAACACGCGTCGCAACGTGGGATCTTCTAGGGCAAACGTGCGCAACACCCTATCACTGAGCGCCACAAACTCCATGTCCGGTGTCTTCTGTCTTCTGACACCCTCTCAGCCGTTGATGTTGTACTTTATACCTCCCATATGATTGATCTCATACATGTTTTCATACTCGCTCCAGACCAACACGGTGATGTTGTGACCCACAGCAGCAGCAAAATCAATGATCAGTCGCACATTGCCCGATTGACGGGGGTTGCGATACTGAGGATCATCGGCTTTTCCACTGGGCACATTGTTGAACAGGAACAACGTGCAGTTCTTGCCTTGTCCCCAATCCCCAGGCAGCAGGAGGGGAATCTTATCTTCATTGTAGGCACCCATGGCTTGTAGAAATCGATCGTACCCCAGGAGATCTTCATAGGCTTCTGCTCCAGTTAGTTGCAGGGTTCTGTAAGGGTATTCTTCTCCATTCAAGGTCTGACGTATTTGGGTGACCCCAAACTTTTCAAAGGCAAAGGGGTATCGTTGTAGGTTTCCATTGAAGGCATCCGAATGCAATAACCCGACCATCACTCGGTCAGGAAATCGACCCACAAACACATTGTCTTGTTCCCACTGGGTGGTTCGTCCATCAAAGGAAAAAGTGCGGATTTCGCTCCGCACCACGGGGTAGCGGGCAATTTGTTTGCCCAGCTGTCTTTCTTTCTGCAGTCTGACATAGACACTGGCATTCAAGGTCACTTTTCTCATCAGCAAGGTGACTTTGATGTCTTCTGGGTGAATGGCTGGAAATTTCTTCGCCACCAAGGTGCCTTTGTTGGGGGTACCTAGCAAGTAGATGGTGTTGGGGTTGAGGAAGAGTTCAAAGTCCATCTGGACATTGGGGACCAACAATTTGCCTGTCTTGAGGGGTGGCAAATGGGGGCGGATGAGGAAGGTGTGCCAATGTTCAGTCAGCAACCGGCTCGTCAAGGCTCTCAATTCTGTATTGCCACTCCAATTGGCGTCTGTGGGGACATCCGAATTGGCGGCGGTGGCTCCCATGACATTCACCACATTCAGCTGATTGACCCATCCTTGGGGGGCTAACTTGGTGGCACCTTCTTCTCAGTTGTAGTTCAGGAGGGTTTCTAGGTAGGCTCTGTAATGGTAGGTGTTGCTCTGTTCCGTCATGAGGACCCCATTCATGCTCAGGGTGATATCTCGAAAGATGGTGTGTCCAAAATTCTTGACGCAATACACATGTCTCGATTCGTTGCCATCGGAGATGAGCAGCCCTGCATCCAAGCCTGTATACCCCGCGGCAGGATTGGTCAGACGGACTTTGACTTTGAATCGGAGGGAATCGGTGTCGTAATAATCGTCGGAGCCCGGGATGGAGAACGTGATGGGCTGGATGCCCGTCAAGGCGGGTTGAAACTCCACCTCCCGTGAGGCTTCGTACCGATAATCCACATCAGGCACGTCAAACAGTTGGAGCGACATGATGCAGTCTGTCCCTGGGGTTCAACGTTCCCCCCTTTTTATACTCTTTCGCCTACGTTGCCTCCTGGCTTTGGCTTGGTTGGCCCATAACACCTTTCGGAGATCCCCCCCTTTCATCTGGCGAACTTGTTGAAGCATCCTCTTCTCCATGGAGAGGGGGTCCGTCAGGCGGGAGGAAGTATACATCAAGGGATAGCGCGCCGTCATCGACTTGCCAAAGATTGTGCCCCCGAGTTGGTACGGCGAGATGAACCGTCCACGGGCACGTTGCCGTCGAATGCGATTTTGCGTTTTGAGAAAACCACCCACGCGTACCATGTTTTAACGTCCAAAGATGTCCCGTATACGTTGGGTAGCTCTTTTATAGGTTTTTTTGGCTTGGTGTTTGCCGCCCGCCCACACCATGGCGGGGGCTTTCCGTTTCTACCCACGGCTCAGTTGCACACGTCGATCCGCCCACGTCTCTGCGGCACTCTTGCCTCGTTGAATATCTTGCAGTCCCGCTTGCGCTTGCTGTAGGACCAGGGGTCCCGCCAGTTTGATCAAGTCTTCGGCTAACCCTTTCCCCTCTTGCGGGGTGACCACGGGCGTGTGGTACCGCGTTAAACTGCCTCCGCGCATTGGGTCGGTTCACATCGAGGTGCTGTTTGGTCCCTCGCGTGGCGTGAGTGGCTTTTTATAGCTGTTTGAGACCGATGGTCACCAAGGTTTTGCCCGGGGGTAAGATGGCCAGGGGTCCACTGGTACTGGCAATTTCCACTTCCAAAATATCCAATTGTTGTCCTCGCACTTTGATCCATTGATGGTGCAGGGGTTTCGCCGTGCTTTCCCCATCGCCGGTTCTCAACAATTGCACTTCCCGCAACAGGGGAAACTTGCCACTGCCCACTACGGTGGATTCCACCAGATCCGAATAGACCATGACAGTGCGTTTGCGGGTCCCCACAATCTTTTCGAATGAGGCATTCAGGTTGTTAATCTGCCATTCGAAGCCCATGTACAATCTCATCCATACCACACTATCCATGGTCGTGATCGTGAAGGCTCGGCTGGTCTGCCTCACACCCATGTACTGCTCGCCTTCCCAATTGTAAAACTTCCGATTCTGACTGCCCACTGGACTGGTGGTCTCATTATAGTTGCCTGCAGGCGCCGTGAATTGCAAATTGGGACCAATGTCAAAGGAACCTGTGACATTGGCTGTTTTGCCTGTCTTTCTGGTCAACAAGCCAAACTTCAGGGCAATGTCCAAGTTGATGTAAAATTCCACCACGTTGACTTGGCGTTGATCTGTCAAATCTTTTTGGGGCACCCCATGAATCACCAGGGCATCCTCTTTCCACGTCAGTCGGGGCATCGCGTGTTTTTTGATGCTCACGATCGGTCTTGCATCGCGATCAACGATCATCAAATTATTTTGTTGTTCCACGAGTCTTTTCATGGTATAGTTATGCACTTCTTGACTCACGCATTTCCAAAAATCAGTCCCTGTGGCCACGATTTGATTCATGTTCATGATATCTTCCAATTCGATTTGACCAGCGAGTAAAGGGGCCTCTACCCGCAGATACCCTGAGGTGGCTGGGTTGCCTGTGTCTGTCCATTTACGGATGAGTTGTGGGTACTTGAATCGAACCACTTTGGTATGAGGATCCGCAGCGATGATGGCATTGCTCTGGCCTTGATCCGGCATGGTCAGGGACATCAAGGAGGCATGCCACCCCGCGCCCGGTAACACCAGCCGTTCGGGCAATCGCACCTTGAAACTGTTGTTGGCATTGTTGGGAAACTCGTTGGTGGGATCGCTGACCAG